GCGCGCCGTCCACGGTTTTTCGAGACCACTTTTGCTAATTTTTCTCGTTGTTTGCAAAATTTAGTGGGAAAAATTCGAGAAAGGCACTATATTTACCACTTTCCTAGTTCTACATGCTTACCCCCACCTCTTCACAAAGTTTGGAAACCCCAGTGGCAGAATCGTGCTCAGAATAGCGATTAGCATCGGCGATCTGAGCGCAACGAAACCAGCGCCATCTATTGAGCAAGTTTGGCATAACATTGATTTTGACGGCTTTCCGACCGTTAAAAGCTGACGCAGCCGCTGCCACGTCGGGTATATGGTGTTCTTTGGTGTTCCTAGGTGCCTGGTGTTCCTTATTTGACACTAGGTGAGTTGTACCCATTCGATCCGAAATACTTCAGGAATCATAAATTGCTCCGGAAGCTATACCTATAGTGATTTCGCCAAGAAAACAGCGAGATGCTTAACTTTGATATACGTTTATCAGTTAAATTAAGTTTTGCAGACAGATTACATCAGTCCAAACCGTATGTTCATTTTTGAATGCAATGTAGCCAGCCACCTTACCGCCCTAGGACAGAAAATCACACTTCGATAATTGATTCAAACGCCGGCATGAGAGCGTTGCATTGCGTCCTGATGGCACACGTGATGTAACCGAGACGTGCTCTTTTAATAACAACAGCGTATGCTGCCTAAGTTACAAGCCGGACGGCTCACTCCACTGCCTGAGTGGTGAGTATAGGTATGCACCGGATCGAAATTAATTTGTTAAAGTGGATCGAAGGTCACCCTCTTCCAGCGATATTGTTATTGGTGACTCTGTAACGCGTTCTTTGGACCGATCTATGAGCTGCATGTTTAAACATGACTTGTTTATTGCAAAATGCTGATAGAATCGCATATCTTTATGTCTCCTGCCTCATTCGTTTCCTACACTTTTTTGCCGTAAGTGGCTCGAGTCTTTGTATCACCATTCCTTAGTTCAGCAAGCATCGCAGTGTATGCACTGTTTGCTGGCTTTCTGTATCGGCCAGTACAGCCCAAAAAAAGTTTCCTATAGTGAGCCCGGTACTTATTCCTGTCGATCACTGGGCAAATGACACAGACCGATGAGCTGAGAGGTCTCGCAATAGCTGGATGCTTTGGAGTAATCCGTCTCTGCAATGTTTACTCCGTAATTTCGGACCACATTGGGACATAGTGAACAACATTGAACTCGGTGATAGTTCGAAGCTGGTCAATGTATGCTGTATGATGGGTGATCGCGACGGAATACGTAACTTGCAAGCTGCCAATGTAAGCCATTTTACCAAATTCAATGGCTCAAGCTTCCTTACTGACAGCTACCTCGGGATTTGTCAAGAGGTGACGCCTGCTTCCGGGCTGTTCAGAAGTTTTCTCTGATCTGGACTGCATGGCGTTGCCCGAAACGGCACGAACGGTTCCTGCTCGATGCACAGGCACTCTTGGTAAATGGTCCACTGATCGGCGCGGCTTTAGTCCAGTGGCTTTTCCACAAATCTTGTAAACTTGTTTAATAATTTGGCCCTTGTCTGATTTTGGTGTAAAATAGAATTAAGCATTGACTATACCGGGCTCATTTACTGAAGCAATATGCTCGTCCAGCAGGCTCGTCATAGCCGATGATCCAGCACGGCTATCCTATTTATCATGATAAACGACGCATCCTTATGCACGTAAAATGCAGAAGGGCATTTCCTTTGTAATTACTTGCCTCTCCGAGAACAGAATGTGAAGTGTCACCGAGGACCACCACGCGGCATTAGTTCCGTTTCGACATGGAGGCTCCTTTCCACTAACTGCAACAATGTCGCATGATTGGGATCACAAATTGCGTCGGCGACCGCTTAGCAGCTACTACCGCGGTTATTATGAGGTCAGTTTCCCTCGAAGACCGAAGCTCGATGCTCCACTGCTTGTAGTGGTGGCCTAGGTCATCAAAATAGGATCTGATGGTCCGATGAGAACGCGCACCTCGGGCAGTGATATGATACGCGGATCGCCGATCAGCAGGATACCTCGCAACTCATCCTCAGTCTGTTGTCAGATGAAGCCGGGCTAAGTTGACGAGGCTAACTTAGTACTTATTCTGCAATTGAGCTGCTACTGTTCAGTTCTAACACTAGGTTTGCATTTCAAAAGAAAGGTTAAATTTACAGGCAAGGAAATAATCGAAGCCAAAACTGAGAATAATGCTGCTGAAGTCTCAGCGCAGAATCAACTGACTAATAGGTCCAGCGGACACTATCGCACTTGGCGAATAATGGCTGTGCTTAAGTCAGGTAAACCCCTAATATGTACATTTCATGGCTACTTTAATTGCGATTGACAGCTTTCACGCTATATACGCTCCTGTGCCTCACGTTTTTCATCAGCGTCCTAAGATCGCATCAGCAGAATGCATATTGTCTCGACCGACGCAAGGTTAACAGTCCTCTCAAGAGATGGCGCTGCGATCGAGTTGCGGAAAGTATGGCACCATGGCCACAGTTAGAGAGATACAGCCAACAGACTTACAGAATAGGTTGAGGAATAGCTGAAGTTTCGATGTATATATTTGAAAATAATTAATTATATGACATTTGTCCTCAAAACTCGCGTCCAGTGAAAATGTAGCGAAAAACCCGGTTGATTAATTGGCTGCGGCGACCCGCAACCTCGACCAAAAAAATTGAACAAATTCACACAGTCTTCTTGTGACATGCTCCGTAGGAATTTCGGTCTTCATTTTGTGTCCTCGAAAAAAAGTTCTCGGATGACCCGCCCTACTGTCTATACATTCTAAGCCACTGATTTATTTTAGTGACGGCGTTCAGAATATCAGCGCTTTGCACCACCTTCAGCTGTCGTCAAATATGGCGTGTGTATTGGAAGATGAGGTAAAAGTGGGCGGGAGAGTTTAACGGAAAAAGTTTATGTTTTAGACGCTATTTACATATCAGGCTATCATTTTTTACCTTTTAAGCGTTCTCTGATTATGTTGCATCTGCTGCAGTAATTTTCATTTGGTGTTTGTACCCTTTTCTGAAGGCTTTAGATTGCGCCGTGACTGTAAACTCCCAGAATGATCTGATATGACAAGTTCCACTTTTCAGACCTATTTTGATGGTGTTTTAATTATTCTATTACATGAAACTTTTTTCTAATCGATATCCTTCTATGGTCTGTTCCATAGCAAGCTCTTGCTATTGAAGTTCCTTCAGCAGCTCGCTCCTCTGTTAAATATTTTGTGCCTTTGAACGTCAGGGCTGTACATAGGTACAGAAATCACACACTGCTTTCAGCGGGGCACTTCAGGGGGGTGCCGTCCCGGCATTTGGAGCCGCCCAGGGGCCAATTGCATTACCCGGCGCGATTACGTCACTGGAGACCTGGTCTCCAACGGCTCTCATTGGTCGGTGCTTAAAACGCTGCAACGGCCATTAGGCTGCAAATTAACAGTATGTGTGTGCGCGCGCCTGCGTGCGTGCGAAGCTTGTGTTGGTGCGTGCATGTGTTCTTCTGTGTGTATTTGCATATCCTTTTTAGTGACATTCATTGGGAATGCGCGCAAGGTCCATCTAGTGTTTACTGCAGTGCGAAACGTTCCAGTGATGCCTATAAATCGCACATCAAGGTTATAAAAAAGGCCCAAGCTGAGACATTTCATGATCGCTGAGCTCATGCAGTCTTGATCGACGAACCCGACTCGCTCGGACTCGTCTGACAGGAGGGGGAGGGTGGCGATACATTGGGTCTGAACCAGCCTGTCACCGGTCACTGGCTCTGGTGCCGGTGTCGCTGACGCTAGCTACGGTGGCCAGAGACGGTGACGGCTCGGAACCCAACTAATTGTTCATATCCACGTTTTAGGACAAAGTAAGATCGTCTTTATCGGACGGTTGGATTACACACTGTCTCCAGACGCTGCTGATCGGAACGGCTGTTCTCATCTTATGCCGAGCAGAAGCGGACGCTGCTTGTCGCCCCCTCCAGCCCGACTGCTCTTGGGCCTCCTATAAGCTGCGCGCCGTGTAACATAACTCCACCTCCCTCACAGCCTCTGCATGCCCGCAGTTCAGCGTCGTGTCTTTCCAGCTCACCAGCCGTAACTCAAAACCGCACGCCAGCGGCGGTGTTAGTGTCACTGACCACGGCCCCCGCCGCTTTTACCGAAGGCGTTACCGAATCTGGGGGTGCTAATGCTAGGGTACATCGGTCATCCACGTGGTGTGATTCAGCCCCGCATATGTGGCACGTGTTTCCACGTATAGCCTCGGCCCGACCCATTAGTAGCTGCCGCACTATAGTGCGGCCTATAGGCTGACCGCTGGCACTCAGATCCCACAGCACCTCTAGTGCCCGGCTCGGCAGGACCCCTAGGTACTGGTTGACCTGACTTAACCTGACCCGACCTGGCCTAAATGCATAAAGACATCATCTGTGATCAAAACTAACGTGATATTCGTGATCAGCGCCCCGAAAAACCCCCTAGCAGCCACCCTTTACGACGTTCTAACAGGTCCCGATTTTCCCGACTTTTGGGTCATTGACCTGACCTGGGAGGTCATCCGATGACTTAGGACCTTAAAATTGGGCATCATCGGCTTGCTCTCTTTACGGGCAACACGCTCGTTCTTTCCGCGAAGCTCTAGCTCAATCAGGGGCCAAACGCGAGGGGGGGGGGGGGTCGTAACACGCCAGGGCTGAAGGAATGGCGTTCGGGGAGGAGCAGGCTACCGGTCCGAGGCCGCGAGCTACATTACAGTTAGGTGGGGCTGGCAGAGGGGTAGCCGTTCCTGTAAATCCATTAAACATAATGAATGTGTAATAGGTACTCGAAACTCCTTCATTTACGACGCCTCGCCGGGATGCCTAACCCTCATACATAACCATGCAGCGCCGCCGACCGTCGGAGCGCCGAAGTCTCCAGTGACGTCACGTAATGTTAAAGTTTTCGGGCGGCAAAACCCCCGGGACGGTTTTACCTTCTCTATACGGCCTTGGGGGCACTTAAGCTGCAAGCTTGATATTGAAGAGAGTATAGACCGAAATATGAAGCCATTGTTAACCTGAAAGAAATAGTACCTACCATGCAGCTTAAACTTCAATGTGATTGGTATGCAAGTGTAAAGTGTTAATTGCAACAAGTTAGGTATGTTAGAGTGCTTGCATGACTCTTATTGTTCTTAAATGGTTTTGTACACTTTAGGACTCAAACTTTCAAATTCCCTCAAAATATTAATAGAAATCTCACAAACATAGGTAGCTCCCTGCCAGAAAAAGATACTTGAAAATTAAATAAGGAAAACATTGCATCTGAACTAGAATAACCTCATGCTGGATTAGTTTCTCTCAAGGTCTGAGTCTGTCCAGCTACCAGCTGCATATTATATCATTATTACACCTATGATCATGATGCACATCATGCATCATGCAAACAGATGCATCATGCCTTGCACATCATGCAAAGAGAAGATCATGAGAAATTAATAAGTCTTGCTTCCTATCCAATATATTGGCTAATTGTCATTCATCAGTTAAAGTCTTAGATGTATGCAGGAAACCTGGAGTTTCAGCATGTTTTTTAATGTATAAATTAAAAAGACGCTTACAGTATCCCAAAAAAATTTGATTTGGGTGGAAAACAAAATCCAAATAAACCACTATTTACTCTGTCCTCCAATTTTAAGTGCAATTTTTCACTCCAAATTGTATGGGAAACACTGAACAGCATTTGTGTGGTTGGCAGTTTACATCCTACCATCTTCCATCCTGTAGATATTTGAATTTATGCTGTTGATCCTTTTTCCACTCTTTTAGGCCCTAGCTGACTGACAATTTTCCACTCTTGTCCCTCTTCTTTCGTGAGGAATTTCTCCTCTGACACCCAAGCCAAAAGCCTTTTTTTTTGCATTTGGGACTCTGCCTAGAGCCTACCTAGCTGAGGCGGGGATGAAAATCTTCAGCATGTTTAAAGCTAACCTAAAGGTATTATAACACCAAAAGAGTGGCTTATGCTGTGTTACAGTAAATTAGTGATTTTATATCATGATTAGCACTTAGGTATGTCTTAAACTTTTAAGATGTAGTAGGTATTGAGAACATATTCAAATATTTTATTCTTCATCTATTACTAGTGTCATTTAACACAATCAGCATGATCAACTGCTTGTCTTATCACCTTGTTCAGGGAAGTACACAGAAACATATTGCAGCCTGACACTTAGTAGCTAATGCAGCTGGTAAGTTTATAAAAGGTGCATCAAACTGTTCAGTGCTGACTGCAGCTGGGTTCAGTTCTGTAGGTATTACACTTTGTGCATTTCATTGAAATGAAATACCAGACATACTAGTACAGACAAGTGGCGCCAGCCTTGCAGATTGAACGGGAAACAATTTCCAGTACCTAATTAGATAAAATAAAATGATTACTTGTTGTGGTGTGTTTGCCTTTGTAACTGTCCCTCACTGATTGGGTTGATGAGTCAGATGATAGTGCAATAGTCATGTTTTTGGTAGCCCACCAAATCATCATCCCACTGCACGTGAGACTCTGTAATCCTTATTGAACATTGTATGCAGGCCACAGAATGATACAGAAGGAAGGGCTATCAGTATCGTCATAGATAAAGTACAGGGGGTGTAACAAAGCCGATGTAAGAATTGAATAGTTGACATTGAAGAGTTAGTTGAAAGATAACACTCCCTTTCTTTTCCCTAGCAAATGTTTCACACAAGGCCATAACTAACAGTGTGTCATCAAAAAGGCCCAGCCATGGCCTCAATAGATTGGGCGGCGGAGATGGAGGAGTTTGGTGAGTTGTTGTTGGCTGATGACTGTGGATGTCATATATTAGATTAATAAGCTGATAAATGCTGAAATATTGTTTCTGCTCATTGAGGATTCTCATTCAGCCCACATGTATCATGATTTGATCTCTGATTAAAAGATGATGTTGTAATGGTAAGTCGTTCCCACTGGCGGTATACGGTTTGCGCCGTGTGCTCCGAGTGTGACGCGCCGTGTCGCCGCAGACGCCCACGGGGAGGAGCCCGTGCCACCCGAGCTGGACATCACCGACATCCCCCTGGTGGAGCCGTTCGCCGTGATCGTCTCCAACGTGCCGCCGGCCGCCGAGCCCGCCGCCCTGGCGCACGCCTTCCGCGGACTCGAGGTGCGCCCCCCCCCCCCCCCAGCTGACCTATCGTAGCCTTTTTACATCTGTAAGAGATCGTCATAGAATATTCGGGCGTTTCGTTCGTTCAAGGTTATTACCGTTTTCAATGAACCACGCCCTCGGGCCGCAGAGTTAAGATGCCCGGCTGCTCTGACCGCCCCGTGTGCTGTCCGTGTGCGGCAGATCAAGGAGCTGGAGCTGGAGAGGGGGCCGGACGGTCGGGCGGCCGGCCGCGGCTATGTCGAGTTCACCACCCGCGAGATCCTCATCGAGGCTCTGCAGATCAAGGAACTGGTGCGGATGGGCGGCACCAATTCTGAACTGACATGATCATCATTGTATCCACTTCACTGTAGTTTGAAACATTTCTTATCACTTTATGGTCCAGCCATGTAACTGTTTGTCCGTTTTACGATAAACAGAACTTTCTATGTTCATTAGTATGTGTGAAATGGAATAACACTGTAGTGTAATATGTCCGCGCTGACTAACCTGATGTGGTGTTGTCGTTGGCCAGGAGCTGGACGGTACGAAGCTGCAGATGGAGCTGAAGCGGGCGCCGCCGCCGGAGCCCGAGCGGCCGCCCTCGGCAGGTCAGTCAGTGGGGACCGACCTGACCGGGCCGACCCGACCTGAGGTGACCTCACCGGAGCCGCCTGGACCTGACCTGACTAGACCAGACCCAACCTGCCCTGTCCGGACTGACCTGACCCGACCCGACCTGACCCTGCCGGACCAGACCTAACCCGGGAATCGCTGGCACTGATGACACGCGTGGTCCAGCTGTTCAGTGTCCATGCCACGGGCGGTCGTAGGCTGATGCTGCTGGTGCTCTGTTGGTATCAAAATTCATACGCATGTATTATTTGTGTTCGATTCAGTGCCCCACCTTCTCGCCAATCTTTCCCCTCGTGAATATCTGATCTTACTGCTTGACCTAGTACCAGGGTACCTAGAGTGGCTTATTAGATGGAATAGTCTCGGCTGCAGTATGAGGGCCACTCTTGATCTTGGGAAGTCGGCGCGATGCTGCCCGGCACCGGAGCGCTGCCGGCCCCCAGCGCCGCTGTTTGGATCGCCAGGTAACCCGGCCACCGCGATCAATAACCAGCTGCCCGATTTCGAGGCGCTGCAACGCCGATCGCACGGGATTCTCCGCTATGTCACTGCGGTCCTGAAGTGCTGCGGTTGGGATATGTCGCTCACGAGTCTTGCCGAACTGGCAGGAACTATTTAAACGAAAGGATTGGAACGATACTAGCCCACATGAAATACCGATAGATGGTTCGTCTCTTTATCAATTACTCCAGTAGCGGGTGCATGCAAGGAGGCTTGATGATAGTGACTCAATGTATGAAGCTCTTGTGCCCCATGGCACGCCTGTCAATGGTCTTTAGACTGATCTGTAACGTCAAGGCTCCCCTGCTGGGCTGCGGCAGTGTTATCAGTGCACTTTCCTCCGTGTCGTGGCTCGGAAAGGGTGGAGCACCACGGCGGGGCGTGATAACGGCCTCTGACGTCAGTCACCAGCTCCCAATGACGTCATTTGCGGGAAGTGACGTTTTGTAACATACAATACAGGCTCGTAACCTGACCGGCGGCGGGCTCGCATGACGAGGTGGCCGAGTGGTTAAGGCGTTGGACTGCTAATCCAATGGGGTCTCCCCGCGTGAGTTCGAATCTCATCCTCGTCGAACGTTTTGGCAAGTTGCTGCCGGTGTCGTTGCATTGAGAAGGCCCCAGACCGAATCCCGAGGGAGAACATAAAACTTAGGGCAGGCTTTCGTCCTGGTGACCGTATGAGTCACGGCACACTTCGTGACAAAACCATGGTGCAACCAGACGGTAATTCATTGCTGATGGAATGTTGTAACTTGTAACCATGGTATATTTAATGTTTATTGCCGAGATCTTTCCTTTGCTTGAACATGCCTCATTAGAGTATCAGCGCCGTCACTGTGTCTTTGTTACAGACGAGCATCGCGGCGGTTACGACTCCCGCGAGCCGCCCGGTGACGTTCGCGGAGGGAACTTCGGTCCCCGTGAGCCGCCCCGCGACATCCGCGAGGGCAACTTCGGGCCGCCGTCGCGCCACGAGCCGGGGCCCTACGGAGGTGAGCGTCTCAATGCGGTGTCCGCTGCCGCCACCCGGGCGTCAGCGGAGTCTCCGGTGGACCGAGAATGAACAGAGTCGCGCTGTCCTGGCTGGCACACGCGTTGCCAGTATCCTGATAAAATGCACCCTCGTAAAGGTGGAATGTGTGGAAATTGGGCAGACCGTGGCTCGTCGCTGCTCGCCCGTGTGAGGTCCTGTGCCGGGCCGGCTAATTGGCCCTGAGCAGGTCTGACGGCCCCGGTGTCGTTTTCAGTTTTGGTGTCCGTGTCTGTTGTGTATCCGTGTCAGCATGTGACGGGCTCGTTTGTCGCCAGGTCGCTCCTCCGATCGCCATGACGGCCCGTCCGGCCGCGGCATGGACAGGTAAGGCCGCCCGTCTCACTGGGACTGCACTGGCGGACAGTTGTCTGCCGGCTGTGACATGTGCAATCAATAGCGTTTAGTTTTGCGACCTAGGGAGTCGGGACTGAAGTTTGTTTGCTCGATTCAGACCGGGAACCGTTATATGATGGTGATCGATGGTCTGAGACTACGAGCAGTCCGCGTTGCTCTTTGTACGTTCATTTGCTCATATGTGACCGGGCACTGTTGTGTTTCGGCAGGGGACCCCGAAGAGACGGCCCACCAGGGTACCACGGTTACGACCGGGACGACCACCGGGGCCCGCCCAGGGGAGGCGGGCCCGGTGGTTACGACAGGGGTGGCCCTGGTGGTTACGATAGGGGTGGGCCGGGTGGTTACGATAGAGCTGGGCCGGGAGGCTACGACAGGGGTGGGCCGGGCGGTTACGATAGGGGTGGACCGGGAGGTTACGATAGGGGCGGACCGGGAGGTTACGATAGAGGGGGTTCACGAGGAGGCCCTGGGGGCTATGATCGTGGAGGTCCCGGCGGGTATGACAGGGGCCGTGGCGGCTATGATAGGGGCGGTCCTGGCGGTTACGATAGGGGAGGCCCCGGCGGTTACGACAGAGGCCCTGGAGGTTACGACAGGGGAGGCCCCGGTGGTTACGATAGGGGAGGCCCCGGCGGTTACGATAGGGGAGGTCCTGGCGGCTATGATCGGGGTGGTCCTGGAGGGTATGATCGGGGTGGTCCTGGAGGGTATGATAGGGGCGGCCCCGGTGGCTTCGATCGGGGCCCGGGCGGTCGCTTCAGCGGCGCACCCCGGCCGGACGACAGGCACGGCCCCGGCCCGGACCGACCCAACTCGGGTGAGTTGTTGCATTTGATGCGATTCAGAACGATGATTCAGTTCCTCAAATTCGAATCGTGTGCTGAATGCGCTGTTTCTAATTTATTTACAGGGTGGGGCAGAAAGATTTACCTCTTGATTTTTAAAAATATTTTGGTCCCAAACAAAGATATTCAATTGATTTTGGTACACGTATTCAGTAGTATGTGCTAGAGATGTCAATCGGATACCAACTTTTTGGTATACCGATACCAAACCGATACCAACTCGGTATTTGGTATTTCAATCCTAATGTGTTTGGTATTTTGTTGGTATCATGAACCCTTGCTAATATTTAAGAGGCTAAGAAATCGGTAAAAAGTTGGTATTTTCCTCATGTTCCCAAGTTGGTTTGGTTTCGGTATTTCTCCACGGTTTTGGTTGGCATTTGGTTTGGTATCGGTATTCCGATTTTCCGTAAATGACATCACTAGTATGTACACATCTCGGCAACGGCACTATGAACCAACATGGCCACCTTTGGTCTTCACCCTGCCCTGAAACCTCCCTCTGCGGAGAGGCACGAGCGCCGCGCGGTGTCCTCGTCGAAATTCGACCATGCCGTCTCGAGGGCCAGCTTCAGGGCGGCGATGCTGCTGTGTGGTGTTGCACACACCTCCCTCTCCAGGATGGCCCAGGTGGTGAAGTCCATTCAGGGTTCAGGTCTGGACTTGATGGTGGCCACATGTCCTTGTCCCAGAACCCAGGCATGTGGGTCTTGCATCACTGTTGAGTGATGTTGGCCGTGTGAGACGACGCAACGTCCCGGACGACCACGCATCCGTCTCGGAACGACTGAGTGACCCAAGGCAGAGCATGTTCCTCCACCAGATGGACATAAACGTTTGAATTGGCTTTCACACCCGCCTCGATGAAGACCAAGGGTCCTTTTGAGCCGTCGGATGCGACGGCGGCTCAAACCATGACACCAGCGGGATTGTGGCGACCAAAACTGGTCTGGATAGCAGGATCAATGCTGGATGTACCATCTGCCAACATTATGTCGTTTTGGGAGTTCGTATGTGGCTCAACCGTGGATTTTTTTCATCGGATCAGAGGAAGACCTTGTTACCGGCGCTTCTGATTTCCTCCAACATCTTTTGGGCCCTGTGTAGCAGCTTTTCCTTGGATGCCGCCGAAATTAGGTGTCGACGTTGCATCTTGTATGACTTAATGTCCAATTCGTCGTTTATGATCCTCCTGATCGTTCTGGGCAAAAAATCGAGGTCCCTTGACAGTTTGCGCATGGTTCGCCTAGGACTTCGAGACACCTTTTTGTGCACGATATCAACCAGCTTTTTGGTGCGGACATGCCTTGTTCTGCCTGGGATGGACTTCATCGACACTGTATCTGTCTCTTCAAGGCATTTCATTATATTTTAAACAGTTTTTATGGCAACACCAAGCTGTTTGGCAACGCTTCGGACGTTGTGGTCAGCCTGCATCGGCGCCGCAATTTGAGCTCTTTTTGTAATCTTCGTCATAGCTCATCAACAACCAGGACGAAATTAAAAACGGTCATAGTAATTATACACGAGTCAGTTGGGAAGCCGCATGCAAAATTTCACTAAAATCCGTCCAGAACTTTTTGAGTTATGGGCTGAAAACAAACAGGTAAATCTTTCTGCCCCACCCTGTACGTGAACTTGGTAGATGTATTGACCTGATTTATCAGAACTGAAGGGCAGAACATCGTGTGCCTGTTCTGTGAGGTACCGCTTTGGTGTGGAGGCACGTAGTCTAGTTTCTGATCTGGGCTGCCGACGGCGCCGAGTCGGCCGGCTCAGCCCCCTGCCGCTGTCCCTCCGTGACCCGGCGTCCCGTCCGTCCGCAGCGGTGCAGCGGCTGCCCGACGGCCGGCCGCGGCTCAACCTGAAGCCGCGCTCGGTGCCGGCAGCAGAGATCGGCAAGCCGGCGCCGGCGGCCGCCAACAGCAGCATCTTCGGCGGCGCCCGGCCCGTCGACACGGCCGCCAGGGAGCGCGAGATCGAGGAGCGACTGCGGCGCGGCGAGCGCGGCGGCCGGCCGCGCGACCGGCTCAGCCCGCAGCGGCGGCCGCCCTCCGGCGACGACCGGCGGCCCGGCGGTCGGCAGGGCTCCGAAGACCGGCACGACGACCGCCGGCCGCCGGCGCGCCGCGGCTCGGGCGACGACCGAGGCCCCGGCCGCCAACGGTCCGAGGACCGGCACGACGACCGGCGGCCTGTGGGTCGGCAGGTCTCAGCTGAGGACCGACACGAGGAGCGCCGGCCGCCGCCGGGCCGTCAGTCCTCGGAGGACCGGCACGAGGAGCCGCGCCGCCGGGAGGAGCGCGGCCAGGAAGGCGCCGGCGAGGAGGAGGAGGAGCGCTCCTACAAGCAGCGCCGCGCAGAGGCCTACAGAGACATCCGCCTAGAGGGCGCGCCGTCGCACAAGAAGCCCGAGTCCAAAAAGACGCCGGCCGACCCGGCACCGGTGAGTGGACGCAGTGTGGCTCCGTGCTGTCGGGAAGGGGGGGGGGGGTGCGTCACCAATTACCGACTAAGCGCGCTTGTGGTGATGGAGCCGGTCGCGCTTCTAATCCCATAAACCATTGTGTGTCTGGGCTGAGTGGGGTTCGAGAGCTGGTGCTGTTCAAACTTTCTGCAATTTTTTTTAGTTTAGTATATTCACCGGTGTCCTAGTGATGTCTCTAAATCGTCCTGGCGCGATCTGCCCTGTTTCCGGCACTGGCAATCAATGAAGTGCACGTCCGCCTGATGTGACCGCTTTCCCCTCCTCCTATCTGACCCTACCCGCCGGCCTTCCGCCGGGTCTGATCTGACTTATGTCTGTCAGCCGATCTGCCCTGACCCGTTGCCCCCGCCCACCTGGTCCGTACACCGGGTCTGAGTGCCCCACCCGTCGACCTGAACTGACCCTTCGCTCCGTCTGCCGGCAGCCGTCTGACCGCCGAGACCAGGAGACTGAGCGGCCCGTCAACGGTACAGCTCTCCCAGAAATGTGAGATCAACCAACTTCTCTGTCTTTGTTAGTTTAGCCGCAAACTTTCAGGAAATAGGTTTTTTATCACTCATGGTATCCGTACAACCAAAATTTGAGTTAGTGGCTCAGTTTAAATATGATGCTAAAAGTGGTTTTTCTGTGGGTTTCGAATCAATGAGAGGTTCTTGTAACTTATACACTTGCACAGACTTCAACGTAAGTTGCATATTGCACAATCTTGCCTGATTTGTCAGTCGCTGTTGTGTCGATTGTGAAGTCCGACGAACTTTCCTGTGGAGTCTTGTGGAAGTTGACGATAATTTAGTCTCTGCAGAGTGTTTAGTGTGCTGTGTGAAATCTGACGGTATGTCATATGTGCTGAGTGGTCAACATATCCCGTGGCCTGACTGGGTTGGTTGTGTAGTCTGACGGTGTGTGTGTCTGTGTGCGGCAGGAGGCCGGCCCGGCTGCGGCCCGCCTCCGGAGGCGCCCCCGCCGGCGCGGGGGCCGGCCGACATTAGTGTGCGGCCGCCGCGGCCGGCCGGGCCTCAGGCCCGGGGCCGCCGACCTCCGGGCCCCGCCGGCCCGTCTGTGGGCCGCGCGGGGCCCGGGCCCACCGACCGACCGCGCCTGAGCGTCCGCCTGCCCTGCGCCCGACGCGTCCGTGTCCGCACCGCCGCCTGCGCCCGCGCCACCGCCGCCGTCCCGTGAGTGTGCGCACAGCCGCCGCCGCCCGCTCGGAGCCCGCCCTGCGGCAGCCAGCGTTAGAGGCAGCGGTTATTATACCTATACACGAGTCAGTGAATGATGCGATGGTTCTGAACGGGAGCCGATGGAGGGTTTGGACCGCGGTCAACAGGCGGTGCCATGACAGCGCCGGTGGTCGAGAGGCCGCCGCTGTTTGTTGTTTGTCTCCGATGTAGCGGAGGGCGGCGGTGAGCTGTGCGCGGCCCTGCACCGCGCCACCGCCCACTCGGGCCGCCGTCAGGGCTCGAGGCGAGGCTGTGCCAGTCAGGGAGGCGGCCGCCAGTCGGTCGGCCGCACGGCCACGGCCCTTTTCTTCTCGTAGTCGGTAGTCGGGCATACTGCCATGCTGTGTAGTGGATTGTCTATACATATAGTCGCGCGCCCCATCGCTGTGTCATCGGTATATTTAGCTGCATCGCGATTGCTAATTATTAGACGTTTGTTGGACGAGTTTTGCTCGTCGATAATGCATTATGTAATGCACGTTTTGTATTTCACATTTAATTTTGGAGAATACACATCCGTCTTAAAGGGAAAACTACGTGTTATCTGTCGGAGTCTCTGACCTTTGGGCAGATAGGACAGATATCTTGGCCGTTACCTACGTATACCGATATAAGTAAACCTACGCTACACTGAAAGATGGAAAAAATTGCTCTGATCTATTGACCAGCCAGTCAACGATGAGTGACTTTGACCTCGTAAATAGCGTTCTCGAAGTCCAAAGAGGATAGTAACGATTTTCCTGACAAACGAAGCCTGAGCAAAACAATAATGTAGGCTGGCCGTGGTGGCGCTGAAGTACTGAAAGGTGGGCTCGGGACCTCCATTCTTCCATATTTGTGGAAAATTGTATCGATGGCTTGCGTTATTGAACCTCAACAAGAAATCACACAAATATTTCAGCACATAGGTGAATCATGACGATAGGTGTCCGCTCGTTGAGAAGACTTGGCAGCATCTCCTTCCGATGTCCGGTGATGGCGACGAGCTGGTCGGGTGGCCGAACAAGTTCCGACAGCGCCACCTGCGGCCAGACCGCGTCACTAATGGTGCCGAGCCGCCCGCTTGGCAGCTGGCTCGTATAGGGAACATTACCGTACTACTTTCACTAAAAACTACCCGGCTGCACGCTTTGTCCATCAAAGCCGTTGAGACAGTGTGAGTGCCGAGTGGTGATGGTAACTGGCAGTTTGATTTGGGTCACAAAGTCCCGAGGCCGCCGGTTTACTCTAGCAATGAGTTGTTTGCTTCAGTTGCATATTCACCGGTAGGGGTGGCGGCCGGATGTCCGCCGCCCACTCACGGGCCGGTCCCTCGGACCGACTGCAGACTCACCTGTCTGTGTCTCGGTGTCCGGCCGCGGCTGTGGGGCACAGTAGCCGACTCGCAGCGGCAGCCCGGTATTGATCCGGAACTGCAGTGGCGCCCACAAAAACGGCCGCCGCCCGAACGGAGCGCCCTTTTTGTGGCGGTGCTCGGTGCTCTGCGCCGCCGGACGGCTCGCTCGGCTAAAACCGAGCTGTCCTCGGAGCGAGCGGCTCGGCGACAGAGCGGCACCCGCCCCGGCCACCGGAATAGTGCGCCGACGACGGGGGTGTCGACTTCATACGGAGGCTAGAGTCAGATGCTGTTGGAAAGCAATTCAATCGCTTTTTGTCATGCATTTGTCTGCACCGTTGAGCAACATCGACCTCCGTGTAGGCGCCGAGAGATGAAGATGCGAGATAAATAAGAATAAAAACTGTTGAACTACGCATTATCGGCAGCCAGAACTCAGAAGATAAAGGAAATCATGATTGATGCTGACCTGACATTGATCCCTAGCACTGCCAGGTGTGTTCCAAGGCACAGTGCCACCACGACTCTACTGACTCGGCCGTCTGTGGGTCCGCCGTCCTGTCCGGTCAGGTCAGGTCAGGTCAGGCGGCCGGTCGGACATAGTACACGGCCAGCCAGTTCCGCTGCTGCTGCTGCTGCTGCTGCTGCTGCTACTGCTGCTGCTGCTGCTGCTGCTGCTGCTGCTTGGTGCCGGCGGAGGCCGACGGCTCGAGGCGGGCCCGAGGACGCTTTTTGTGCGGGTCGTGTTTTTCTCGGGCGTCTTCTGTTTCAAGACGTCGCCGTCGCAGATGTCTCCGCTGCAACTTCCGACCTGATCTGCCCGCACGGGCCGCCGGAGCGGAGCCCCCGATACCGGCCCATCCCAGCCGAGACGAGTCCGTGGCATTGGGCAGAGGCACGCTGCGGTGAAAGGCCTCGGTGATGTGATACCTGTCGAATATTCAGTAGCTGCTGCTTGCCTCAGAACGCAGCTGCCCGTACTTGTCTACCTGCTTCAACAGTTGGCGATATACATAACGAATTCTCACGTCATCGTATGTCTACTTCGACTTGATCTCTAGGCGTGCAAGGACAGTGCCCGTACAATCTACAAAGGACAATTGGATGCTCAGTTACCCACTGCACTGTATACCGTATATAACTGCGCATATATTAATTTTGATCGCAACATTATGCGAGCTTGGTTCGGTCGCATGTAATTGTAATCACATGTGGTAATCGAACGATCCCGGGAAATACCCCGTTCGAGGCTGGTGAGGGGAGCCCCTGGGGTCCGTCCTTGCACGCGCTGCAGTGCCGGCTGCCGATCGGTCGGTCTGCACGGCCGTCTGGGTGGGGTGTATGACGGCGGGAGGAGCCGCCGCGCCGGGCGGCCGTCCCCTGGCTCGGCGGCGGGCCGTTGAACCAGCAGCCACGCGCCACCCCCCCCCCCCCACTCCCCAGCCCTCCGACGACGGTGCCGACGCGCGTGGGGCGGCCGGTCACGTGACGGCCGTCGGCGCGGCGGTCAGGGGCCGGCCGAATCGATGGTCGGCCGCCGGCGGCAGGTCGGTTCGGCGGCCGCCGGTGACCGCAGTGGGCCAATGGCCCCGGACATCCCCGGCGCCCCAGACCCCGCCGAGACGGGGGCGTATGTCGGGGGGGGGGCGCACTAGCCACTCCGGCCTCGCTGTAGCGGCACGGTCCGGCCTATGGGGGGGGGGGGGGAGAACGGAGAGACAAAGAAAGGCGGGACCGAGCACCGGGATGACACGGACCTATACCTGGGCGCCGCACGAGAGAGAAAATTCTGATCTACGTAAGTTGTATTTGTGTTGGATCATCTTAATCTCCGAAAAATGTAATGCATTGTTTTTACCGTTCCCGGCCCAGGAGGAGGGTCTGTGTCGCTCGCTGACGGTTTAGGTATACCTTATTCATCATTGCTCGGAAGACGTTACCGATAGAGAGGTTGACGGCTTGCCTATCTGACATTTAATTCAAGCCGAACTTTGTAACACCAGTCGTAT